ATCTCGTTCTAATTACCAGGAAAAATTCCACTGAGGGGGAGGTGGGAAGAAGAAAAAACAACTTCCATGTGTAAAAGACCACTTTTGCCTACAATTCTCAGAAGATGACTTGGATTTTTATACACAGCTGGTTACAACTTCACACAGCGAACATACTGTACAAATCCAAGACCCTGAACAGACCAAAACTTAATTTTCACACCAATGTCCCCATTAAATAGCATAAAGGAAAGAGACAGTATATCACATTTTTTTCCATTTCATGAGCAAAGTGGCCTCTGTAGGAGACGCCCATAAGAAAAAAACATCATGACACACCAGGGAGAAGGTTGGAAACTTCCTCTGCTGCTCTCAGGAGTTTCAATTCCATACTTTTCTCCCAATTTCAAAAAAAAACTCTTGCTTCATCAAGTTGCAGTCAGAAGAAATACTTAACATCCCCCCTCCAAGCATATAGCAGTCACTGGTGCATATCCGTCAGACTCTTACTGCCTGGGAATACTTTTTTATCCTGTCAGCTTGGATGAAATTGGGACCTCATATTTGTAAATGGCAAAACAAGTTTCCTCAAGCCCCCCATGTAGGGGGCACTCTCTTTACATGAACATAGCATTGGAAAAAAATATATATACACGCCAGTCAGAGCCACCATACTAGATGCTGCACAAGCACGATGAGACATAGAAAACACACGTGAAAGGTTCGAACACTGGAATCACTAAAAGCTTAGACCTGGACCTCTCAAAGGCTCCGCATTAAGTGTGATCAGTCACCAACACAACAAATCATGCATAGCTGCAGCTGCACCTCTGAGGTGCATTTTTTGTTGCAAGCATCAAGAAAAATCTAACATGAAAGACATAACAAGCATGATACTGGTATTTTTTTACATGATATATAAATACCTCCGATTTTTCTGTGATCCAATTCTGTGATCCAATTGATCTTAGAAAGCTCAGCTCAAAATGGCTCTTTGACTCTTATATGCTTTGGCTCTAGAGATCTTCCAGTCCCTTCTGAGATCAAAAATAAACTGCCTTGGCTTTGCCTACTCCAGAAGAAACTGAAGACTAATGAAGCCCACATGTGATCATGACGTGAGCTTTTAAAGCTGGTAGACCATGAAACACAAGTTTTTTAGGATTAACTCCTAAAAAAATATATCTAGTATTCTTCTTTATCCATCCCAAGAGCAGGATCTTTCATTTGAAGAATACAGAGAAGAGAAAGAAAGCCAATGTCACGCCAGTCTTCAAAAATGGCAAGGAAGATCCAGGCAACTACAGACCAGTGAGCCTCACCTCCATCCCTGGAAAAAGTCATGGAGCAGCTCATCCTGGCTGCTGTCTCCAAACATGTGGAGGATAAGAAGGTGTTCAGGAGTTAAGAGCATGGACTCACCAAGGTGAAATCATGCTTGACTAACCTGAGAGCCTTCTATGATGGAATGACTGGCTGGGTAGATGAAGGGAG